CGAGAGTAAGTTTGAATATAGATGCTTTTTTCTCTCACACTTACGCTAGGGATAGTGAAATTCATTAAGGACCTCAAGAAGATAAAAAGAGAAGTAAAAATTATAATAGATTTACAATCAGTACATTAAAACGAAGTAAATTTTCTATATTATACACCTCTTGGTATATGAAAAGTAAGTAATGTGTATTATTTTGTTATTTAAAGCTAAACACGACTCCATTTATTTTCATCACGAATACTATGCCGTATTTTGTACGATTATTTAATCTTTCTTCTGTAGAAATATCGATATGAATGGATATGTAGAGGTAACATTTATTGTATATTTTGATTCAAGACGAATGAGTGAGTAAATACGTAGGAAACTAATAATTACATGACGCAAAAATTGTTTTAAAAAATATCATTTTTAGTCATATTATCCTTCATATTTCATCATTAATGTACGCTCGATAGTTACCTATATGCATTACAAACTGTCATTATGTCTTACTATTAGCTGAAAGGTAGAAAGTCATAGAATATTCATTCAAATATAATATAGAAATATGAAGGACGAACCTATACTATTCTCTAGAGGAGGTTTTGTTTATTTGTACGAAGTGTAAAAAAGACTATTTTTGTGGGTTTTGATTTTCTTAAAACAACAAAAGTAAGACGCTACTCTTTGTTTTTTTCGTGAGATATTTTACAGCTGTAAAAATAGATAATGAATCAGAAAAATATTTCGTTAAGTTCTCATAGTAGTAATTTACATTCTTGTTGTAATTTATATCAAAACTTGTTATTTTATCTTACATACTAGGAAAGTATTTGAATAAATTACAATATATATTTAATCTTGCGATATTTCTGCTAATTTACGAATAGACCAGCACGATATGATATAATGACAAAATCTACTTTTGCAGATTGTTTTCTACAAAAAATAAGCCACGTAGTATATTGCTATATCTTATCAGAAATTAATGATACACAATTGGATTTCTACACTATTTAATAGTAACTATATACATAACCATTAAAGTGTTTTCTTTCGTTCTGTATATATACATCTAGGCTGTTTCACACAAACAAACTAATATAATTTATTCTACATGACGTTATGTATACAATCTTTTATCTCTGTTATCTTTCGATTTATATAAAAAAAACAGTCTTATAGTTATATATATATATGGCTACTATTAAATAGTATATAAGTCCAACTGTGCAACATCAATCTCTGACAAGATATAATGATGTCCTACGTGATTGATTTTTTGTGGAAAACAATCTACAAAAGTAGATTTTTGTAGTTCTATCATGTATCGCGTCAGTGATATAATTTCGCTGTTCATTAACAGATGTATCTTTACACATATATTTAATTTAATTTTTTCAGAACTGATCTATTATCAACAAATAACAGTCCAATCTAGGTACGTACGCTTTTGGAAACCTTTAAGTCAGAAAAATGTTTCCCTTCAATATAAAAAAAACTGTAATTAGCTGCCCTTGATTGATCATTCTGTATGCAATGTCAGTCCTTAAATGTTTTTAACACCTTGGCAATGTACTTTGTCAAAAGCATATATATTTTTTTCTATTCTTGTAGAAAATGTACTATTTTGTGTGTGCAATAATTCTTATTATGAATCCTTCAATATTAATATTTATTTTTATTGAAGAAAATGGTTTCTATATATTTATAGTAAAAGAAAATGTCTCATTCATGTTTATCGATTTTAATCGAAATAGAAATCAAGGAGAATGTAATATAACATAATGTCGTTGATAATGAAAAAGGCCACTTCGATTTGAAATAAAATACGGTCTTTTGGTTTGTTATTATCTTCTAAATGTCTTGTTTCTCCTATATATTATAAAGAACAAGATTTTCTTCTTATTTCCTATTCTTCTATATAATCAAGTATAACTAACATTCCATTTAGTTAATGGATGGTTAATAAAGAGAGAAAAAAATAAGAGGGGAAAACTGTTGATTCATAAAGAATCTTCATCGTTAGAACATATCTTACATTCACGTATTCGTTTTATTTCAGTTCATATCAATATTAAATATGTCAAAATTCATATTTATAATTATATTATGTTTACCGATATTTGTCAATTCGAACGGTAAATTGTTTTTATTTATTTAATAATATAATATGTATAATACACAGGACATTGGTCATATAAAAATAAAAATGACTGGCAACAAAATGCTCATTATTGTGGCGGTAATCTACAATCACCTATCGATTTATGGTTTAATAGATCACGTCATGATCAACGACTTAAACCTCTACATCTAGTAGGGAAACCTTCTCATAGTAAATATTTTTGTTTTTTCGATGTTTAATTAATTATTTCATATTCATAGGTGAAGTAATTATTCAAAATAATGGTCATTCAGGTATATATTTTATACTAAAACAAAAATTAATATTAATCTATTTTTTGTATAGTTCAACTTAATGTAAAAGATCGTTATATATTAAAAAAAATTGCACCTCTAAGTGAAGATTATAACGTAGAACAAGCTCATTTTCACTGGGGTCATTCCTATGATAATCGTACTGGATCAGAACATTTTCTTGATGGACAATCTTATCCATTAGAAGTAATTATTCGTCAAAATTCAACATAAAATACGCATTTATATTTAGATGCATATGGTAACTTATTCTAGTTTATTTGCAAATATTGGCGAAGCAGCATCAAATACACGTGCACTAGCTGTTGTTGGTATTTTATTTGAAGTAAAATTATGATAATAAATCTGTTTTTAAATATATATATATATATATATATATATATCTATTTATAGCTTAGCGATGAACCAAATCAATTTCTTCAACCAATAATTGATGCATTACAAGATATTCCATATCAAAATGGACAAAGTACCATTAAAAATTTTAATTTATTATCTTTATTCGATGAAAAACGTATGCATCGTTATTATCGTTATGATGGTTCATTAACAACTCCAGCCTGTTTTGAATCAGTTATATGGAATGTTTTACAAGAACCATTACCAATATCATATGATCAACTTCGTGCTTTTCAATCTTTATATGATGAACATAGACAACCCTTAATAAATACATATCGAAAAATACAACCAATGGGTACAAGAAAATTATTCCGTAGTTTTCATGCTCATCATATTCATGATAATGAATTGAAAGCACGAATATCAACAACGGAAAATCATGCTCAACGTACATTCATCAATATGAAAATAATTTTAGTCTTAGCTACTTTCTCAATGATGAAATTTTAAAAAAAAGAATTGGAATTCGTTTTTGCTCGTAGTTTTAGAACATTTTATTGATACTAACCCTTTAGAAACAAAATAAATTTTAGAAAAAATAAAAATACAGTGTCTTAAAATATATCTAATTTAATTATACTATTTATTCCGTTTGTCTACGGAAAATATTTATCATAAAATTTTGCAATTATCAAATTTAATTTCCATTGAAAACGTCTTGTGAAAATAGTCAATGTTTTTCTTTCTTCACTCTTTTAATTTAACTTGGTGAACACGATAAAGTAATAGAAAGAAAAAAACATAAATGACAAATAATAAGTATTTTTCTTTTATGTAAATAGAATTTCTTTCACTTTCCTCTTCCGTCACCATCACCACCGTCGCCAACAAAAAGAACACGTACATACACACATACATTCACAAGTAAACATGGATCGTGATAGTGCCAATGCTACTCGTTTACGTGTTAATCGTATTGCATTAAATCAACAACTTGATCCACAAGAACTCGTACCAAAACTCGTTCGTGCTCGTATTCTTTCGACTGATCATGATGTACAATATATACATCAAGGTACATCACGAATTGATCGTGCACGTCGTTTAGTTGATTGTCTTCTAACACCAATATCAATCGGAAAAGAATCTGAACGTGGTGATCGTCCACCAAATTGGTATTTACAATTTCGTAGTATTTTATCAGAAAATTCATCAACTTATGGTGATCTTGTAAGTGCACTTGATAATACAATTGTTCGTCCACCTAAATTTGCTGAACGTGTCTCAGACGCATTTGCTGATAAAACAAATCATCAACGTTCACATGAATTTCGCGATAATATTAATAAAGATTTACTTAATGCATCAAAACAACAACAACAGCAGCAGCATGATCAACAACAACAACCAAAACCTGCTCCTGTACCAACGAATCAAGAACAAATAACAAAAATTGAATTTGATCGATATGCAATGAATAAAATATTAATTGAAGGAAATTTCCAAAAAGTTATTGATAATCTTACATATAATTCACAAGTAAATCGATTTAATTTTGGTTTTTCTTATAAAAAATAATTTTTTAGGTTCCTGATCGTTTATTTCAACAATTATCTCTTTCAAATAATACATATGATCGTGAACAACTTAAAGCTGAAAATCAAGCATTTGATGATATGCGTCGTCTTGAATTAATGAATAATTT